TTAAACATGAAGTCGGGGTGGAACGTCCTCCACAAGGGGTAATGTCGCATTCTTTCATGACGCTCTCTCGAGCGATCGGAAGAGTTCGCAATTGGAAATAACTTCTTTTGTCGCTACGATTGGATTTACCTGGAATCTTCAACAATTTGCTACTTGCTCTTTTTCGTTGCTAATTTTTTTTGTGGGCGTAGCACGTAGGAATTCAATTGTGACAAAATGTTCATATGGTTCTCCGTAAACATCACTTTTGAAACATACTATAGTTCTCCCATTCAGTTTTTTTCTTGTTCAACTCAACCAGTAAACCTTACCACTGCCTGTAATCCATAACGAAATTAATCTTTAATCCGTTTACAAGCTTTTTCATGTCACCTTTCCTAAGAATCGTAACTACGTTGTTTTCGTAATGAAGATAAACTCGTCTCTCGATGAGGAGGTTTCTGGTGTACCAAGGAAAGACAAAAGAAAGCCCTTGAGATTTTCGTCAGACGAAACTCGTATAAAGAGAAATTCCTCAATTAGTTAAGCAAAAAGCTTCGGAACTGTTCATCTACCTTGCTTTTATAGAAAAATAAACAGTTATCGCAAACAAATAAACAAAGTTACATTAGTCTCTCCATTTGCAACGATAGCGCTGTCATTTCATCTCAACTATAGACTCAAAGTAAACAATTTAATTTATTGCCCTATCCATCATCTTCCTTTGAACAAAAAGCCAAGGCATTTTGATACATAGGAGTGTTGTGTTAAGGAAAACTCACTTAACATAACCCGAGAAATCACTGATAAAATGGCGAATTCACAACTACACGAAATAACATATTTTAGTTCGCCTTTCGTCCGCTCGATCGCTCATTAGTTGTTGCGCTTAATTGTTTTAGAGCTGCTCTATATATTTAAACACTTTTCAATTTTTCAATCAAACATTGACACAGATATTTCGTAAAATTTACTTCATTATTCTATAAATTGCTCCTTTAGAAAAATGTCCCTGAAGCTCGTAATCGTGGCCGTTCATCTGCTATTGCTTATCGTAGTGGACTTCTCGTCTGGGAACTTCTGCGACCAGGGCCCCCCGGGACGCTACTGTTACAAGGACCTTACCGGCTGGTATGATTGCAAAATTGATGCTAAGACTCAAAAGATGACAGAGACGAAACACAATTGTCCTCCCAACAAAAGGTGAGGAGATTTCAGACATGGGGGGGGGAGGGAGGAAGTAACCCTTAAGGGTGACCAACATCTAATTTTTCCCGCCTTCAATATCACTCGTCAATCACACATTGAAGAAAATGATCACCAACTAAAAGAAGCTGTTGATTGCTTAACAAATTCTCTTTATCGGCACCTTAGTAAACGTATAGAGAACAGTATGGAGAATGTACATACTGATTATCGGGTGTAAAGAGTTAAAGTTCTGAGAGGTATCTATATAAGTCTTTTGGCCGAGTCGGAACGCCGCGTCATGTCGACTAAAAACCATTTTTTTACACAAATAACTCACAATTATTTTATTGTGTGATTCCATCTAGGTGTCAATGTTTCTACGGTCCAAGCTGTTCATCGAACATAACAGATCCTTGCGCAACATATCAACTTCCCCCTCCCCTGCCAAAGGTGTTTTCCACGTTTTACACCACAACAGTCACAAATTGTAAGAACAAAGCCTGCACTACTGTGACGAACATCGGCGAAATGCTGCAGAACGCCACCGCTGGAGAGCAGCGAATAGATGAAATTGGAATAAGCTGGACCACGCGGTTTATTTTTCCTTTCCAATACATCGAAAACGACGACTATATCCAGGTACACACTCTGGTTGTTAAATTCAAATCTAGGAAAGCCTGTACTCTTTAACTTTGGCAATTAATATGGAGTTTTTTTTAAGCCCATGCTTTTATCCAATGAACGAAGCGCCCACCAATTTGCACCGGATGACACAATCTGGTCTTTGGTGGACAAGCTTTCTTTTTCAAGCGCAGGTGGTAGCTTTTTCATGCGCGAGATTGTCATGTTTTTTTTACACACATGATCACAGCTATACTTCCTCTAAGGCACCAAGAAAAGTTCAGAGAGGGGATAAATGTCACCCAAAAGTCACTTATTGTTAGAAATAACGACGAAGTGAACGCGTTCAAGGAGTATGTTTCTGATAAGTTTCATTTTGCGAATGCATCCTTTTCCCCTCCCTGCAATCTAAGAACTCTCAACACTGTCAATATTTTTTTCCTGATCATTTTACATATTTTAGTTCGACACAGCTTGGTTTAAGAAGAGCTGCATCCTTAAAACCCGCTCCATTTTCCCGCGCTTTGGAGTTCCATATTATTTCACCTGTGATCTGTCGGAGAAGTTCATTGAAAAATACAACGCTACATTGAAAATGTGTTCCTGGGAGTCTGGGGGCCGCAGTAAGACCGAGATGGTTTCCTTAGAGAGATGGTTCCTGGAGAGCCTCCCTGATGGTCGATACAAGCCGTATATGTACCAGTCCATATCGCGGCCGACTCCCAGCAGCAATAACACTGAATACACTGATACCATGTACTACTCGTTTTTCACGGATTTCTTGGATCCAAGCCAGCTGACGATGCCTACGTTCTGCGCTCAGGGGGTCGCGGATTTCTACAAAACCGAGGTTTAAGATCAAGAGACACATAGACAGAAGTGCTGACAGGGCATTTATCAATTGAGTGTTGAAACTAATTTGAAATTGCATTTTATTTGTTATATTCCATTCGTTGATTGGTTTAAAAATCTCGTGCTCCTTCGCATCGAGTCAGATCCAAACTGAAAAGCAAACGGTTTTTTTTTTGATTGGCTCATGTTCTTGCTTTGAGTTTTTTTTTTTCGACACTTACTTGAAAAGTGCTCTACTCTTTTGCACGCTCGTGTCTGTGAAGACTTTTGGCAAAAGAGATTCGATAGTTATTAGCAGGTAAAAACAAGAGATCTGTTCATGATGTAGACTGTAAGAATTATTGAGGGATTCCCTATTGACTTTTGACGAAGATTTAAAAACACAAATCTTCTTTGATAAAAAGTCGCTAACAAAATTTATCACATAATACAAAATTATACTATCTTGAGTTTTTTGAAGTAAATAGAGGTTAATTTGCTTCTCACTTTGACAATAAAATTTCAGCTTGAGGTTTTTAAAAATTTTCCTCTACTTGTTAAGGTTCGCCCGCATGTGAGCTTTTGCGAGAAGTAGAACGAATTTTAAACCCGCTCAGTGAAAAGGGTAGATATGTCATGCGCCACCTTTCCGTAGTCTTGTGCTTAGGCCCTATACGACACACAAGTATGAATTTGGCATCCCCTCCCCCATGTTCAAATTTTGTCTTCTTCCTCCCCCCTCTTTCTCGGGTTTTCTTATACTTTTTCCCCCTTTCTGTTGTACACTCAATGGTTAAAGCCTTCAAGTGAATTAAGAGGTTAAAATCTGAGGAAAAAGAAGGTCTGTTCAGATATTACCTCTTTAAAAGTAAAATTTCGCGGGACACGCGAGTAGGCTCTCACTAGGGTGGCCAAGAGTTTATTCGCGACGCATAATTAAGACCAAGATCGACATTTGAATTTATAGAAAGGCGAGCGTGTTCACGAATTTATGAATCAGTGTAAGGCGTGATTTGCCTCCTGAAATTTTCGTGACCCGTCAATTGTTTTTTTTTTACGAAAACTTCAAGATGTCCCACAAGAAGATAGATTGTTCCCTGAAATTGTCAGCCTCTTGCGAACAATTTTTATAAACTGTGAGTGAGGATGGCATTGACGAAAAGTAGTATAAGTTAAGTCTAATTAGAAGGAGTGAACAGAAAAAAGACCATCTCTAGTACTGTTTCCATGCAAAGCTTGATTCTGATCACTGATAGCAAAGGATCTGTGAATTATTACAAGATCATAATAGAGAGTTGTCAACTTCGTCTTGATTGTCTAAGAACTTGTCGGTGATTTTCTGGCTGCCAAAGCAGCTTACTGTTACAAGCAAAACAAAGGTTTTGTTACAGTAAGAAGATTCCCAAAAAATACGAATGTATACTAGCTACTATCACTTTTTTATTCTATTTTGGACTCGCTTTATATTGCCCAGTCGCTGAGTTAGCCATACAAAAAAAAATTATTATGGGGACCAAGGATTTTTCGTATAATAACTTAATAAATTGAATTCGTGGGATAACTAGAGGGTCTTTGATGTTAATCTCGTCGCAAGATCCAACACAAGTAAACAAATAAGGAATACGTATAACAGGTGATCAGCAGGAATTTTCCTCTACACTGAAAGGCGCTTTAATCAGAAGCAGTGTGCTATTCAAACGTTCAAAACTGAAACCGTCATGGTGGTAAGTGTTAAGAAAATTTGGAAATGTTTTACAACAAATTATCTAAACTATTCTTTTTCCTGACGGAAAGAAATTATATCATGAACAATAACGACAGAAATATCAAACACTCAGGAGAGGTTTTAATTTGATTTTGGATACTTACGACAGACTTTTGAAACTCCCAGTTTTGGACATAAGTCATCTCGTTCAAGTTATGTTTTCCTCCGAAATGACCTTTATTTAAAAGCGGATTTGTCGTTATTAGCTTTCTCCTTGTTGAATTATCAAGGGCTTGTTTCCTACTTTTATTTCTTTGTTTGTATCAGGTAATCCGCATTTTGTAATGCCTCAGAATAACTTTAGTGTCACACACTTTTTGCTCGATTGAAAGTTCGTCGTCGCCGCTGAAACGTGTTTTCTTTCTTTAGCTTTCGAAAGATTGCATGACAGTTAAACCACCGTAAATTAATTACTGAAAGATTGAGGAAAGATTCGTGTAAACTGTCGTGATTCGACAGTTTCCAAAATCAACCAGTAAGAATAAGAGGGAGCACTTAGCGTTTATCTAACCCAGCGATTGTGTGACTTGATTATTGAACAAATAATTTCGCAATGAAATGTGATTCGCAACAAAGATCAGCTGATTGGTGGGCGTTTCGAAAGTGATATTGCACAGCTTGAACATTCACGACATTGGAATCATCGAAGTAAAGATCGTTCTGAGGTGAGCAAATTAATGTTTTTTTGGATAGAATCGATTTCCTTCTGCTAAGAGGTGTCTTGTTTGCAACTAGCTGTCATGGTTTCGAAAAGAGAGTACTTCACAAGCTAATTTTCCACGAAACAAACTTGCAATCTTTGACCATGCATGTTGACCTATGTTGCGGAAGTGAAGTTCGCTTGTCCCATTTCAGGAGAGCGATTCAGACCTCAATGTTGCCGTTTTTCAATGAAAATGCCCGAATATAGGTCTCTCGCATTAATTGGTCGTCAATTCATTACTTATTCGCGAAATATGACTACGCATTTCATAACGTCACATTGTCATGCAGCACTCTCGATCCGTTCTTCGAATTGAGTGATTTGAATGAATACAAGACACGAAACTGCTCTGTTTCATGCTTTATTCTATTTTTATGTGTATTAACTTAAAGTTTCTTTATTTAAATACCTTATTTCATTGTCTCGTAGAGAATCGCTTTCTTCAAAATGAAACTGCAGTTGTTCGTAACTTTGTTCGTGTATTTGCTCCATTGTTCCTTTGCGAAAGTGGCTGATGGACCAGACGAGTTTTGTGATGAGGGTCCCCCAGGAAATTATTGTCTCCCGGATCTCACAGGCTGGCATAACTGTTATGTTGACCAAAAAACTGGCCAAATGGTTGACAAGATCACTACATGTTCTCCAAACACAAGGTGTGCCACCTTCTGATTTACCGAGTCGAAATGTCAAGGAACGGTCGTCGTTTATGTAACGGGGGGAGGGGGG